AAGAAGCCTTTCTATTTCCGTCGGCCGTCATGAAGTTTAAGTTTATATATGTAGAAAAAAGACCAATAAAAAACAGCTGACCCACTGGGAATGCTGACTTGGTCCTTTTTAGCTCATAGCATTTAATTTTTGTTTTTTTTTAGTTTTTAAGTATTTTGTTATTGGGGTTTACAATGGTGCTATCGGTTAATAAACATTATTATTATTATTAAATACACATTTCGTGATTCAGCCGATGGTAAGTTTTTTTACCATTACTTTCAAACAATATATTGAAGTTGCTAATTTCTTTTTAAGCTGAGATATGTGCTCTGACCAACTCAAGGTTTACGTAAACACCACGCCAAGGAATTTGGTCTTTTGATTTGTAACGTGATCATTGGTTTTTGTATAAAACGTGAGTAACTTGGTTTTAGTTTTATTTAATTGTAATTTGTTCGAGTTGAACCACTTTTCTGCCTCAACCATTGTAGTACTAGTTTTTTCTGAAGTTTTTGGATATCCTTTTCCACGTTTATGAAGGAAGTATCGTCCGCATAAAGGCAGAGTGAATCCAATGCTACAAAATCCGGTAGATCATTTATGTAGATCAAAAAATGAATCGGTCCAAGAACCGAACCTTGCGGAACTCCTGTTTCGACTCTCTTCCATTCCGATATTTCACCTTTGCAGTGAGTTTGTTGTTGTCGCTGATCCAGATATGAAACTAGCAGGTTAAGGGCTTTATCACTTTTCCCGTATTTATTCAATTTCTTAGTAAGAAGGTCATGAATTACAAGATCAAATGCTTTGCTAAGATCACAAAAGGCGATTTGAGTATATTTTTGTTCATCAAAACCTCTTATGGTCATTTGTAATACACTAAGCAGTACCGTGTTTGTGGATTTACCTGGTTGATAACCGTGTTGGTAAGTCGTTAATAAGTTTTCATAAGTCAGATAATGAATCTCTTCTAAGCTCTTCTGATTAAGCGATGTATTTGTTTGTTTCTGTTTCGATAGTAGAAATGAATTTGTATTATTCGAATTGTTGCTAGAGTTTAACTGCGTGCAGTTTACAAATGAGTTATTCAAAACGTTTATGTCTAAGTTAGAGGGCTTTTGCGATTTATTGTCACCTTTTCCGCATTCTTTCTTTACAAGCTTCCAAGCTGCTACGACCTTATTCTCAGAACTTTGAATAAATCTACCATTTGCTTCCTTCTTTGCCACATCTATTTCTACTCTATATATTTTTTTCAAATTATTATACGTATCGTTTAGTCTGAGGTATTGAGTTACGGTTTTTCATTTTTTTAAATGTTTCTGTTTCCAATTTTTTACAATTCATTTTTGCCTCTTTAGTTATGATTTTAGGAAAAGCTGATTATAGCAGTATAGGTAGTTAGTGTAGAAATATGTGTAACTATTTTGCGCATCTGCATTTGCTATACAGCTTGTATCAGAGTAAGCGCCTTATTTTTTTTTAGCCACACTATGGGTACTACTTTCAAAATATTTGGCAGTAATATGTTTTAGGACATTCTCTACACGATGGTGATATCATATTTTCAATTGGACGAATTATTTCAAAATGGCGACTGTCAACTTTTTTTTTTAAATGGAATGCCAACATTTTTTTTTATTATTGAGGTCCTAAAAACATTCTTTTTACGATAGTACTTTGTTTTTCTTAAAAATTCATTTCTTTCCCCATCAAAAAGCACACTAACATTTTAATCTAGTAGCGCATGAATGTTTTACACTCGATGTTATTTTTGTCCAAATATCAAGTAGATGTTTATTACAAAATAAAGTTTAATTGTTTCTTTTGTGTCTACCGCTACTTGATATTTGGACAAAAATAATATCGAGTGTAAAACATTCATGCGCTACTAGATTAAAATGTTAGTGTGCTTTTTGATGGGGAAAGAAATGAATTTTTAAGAAAAACAAAATACTATCGTAAAAAGAATGTTTTTAGGATCTCAAAAATAAAAAAAAAAATTTGGCATTCCATTTAAAAAAAAAAGTTGACAGTCGCCATTTTGAAATAATTCGTCCAATTGAAAATATGATATCACCATCCTGTAGAGAATATCCTAAAACATATTACTGCCAAATATTTTGAAAGTAGTACCCATAGTGTGGCTAAAAAAAAATAAGGCGCTTACTCTGATACAGGCTGTATAAGATCAGTCACATTGAATCTTTCAATATTTCTCATCGTAAAGTTACGGCGTTTAATTGTTTTATGTTTTTTTTTCGCAAATTCGCTCATTGTTATAATAAGATCATTCTTTAGAGTTGTGTTTTCATTTATACAAACATTGAAATCACCCATAACAAATATTCTTTTATTCAATTGTGTATCTGTTATACAGGGTGATTCATTAGCTCTATGACAAACTTTGGCAGATGAAAGGTGATGCGATTCTAAGGAAAAAATGTTATATGAATATGGGTCCGATTCATTTTGGTTAAAGAGTTACAAGCCTTTGAAAATTTTACACAGTTTAATAGGCAAATGAAAATGTAACATAAAAAATAAGTTTAAAAATTACAAAAATTGTTCGAAATGTCCGCCTTCAGCTTGAATGCACGCCTCACATCGACGAAGTAAAGATTCTATCACACGACGTATGATATTTGGATCATTCCGTATGCTATTAGCTGCATCTTGAATTCTGTCCAGTAGTTGCTGACGGGTAGTAATTTCTACATGGTACACAAGCTGCTTCATGTGTCCCCAGAAATAATAATCCAGCGGATTTAGATCTGGGGATCGTGGTGGCCAGACTACTGGACCTCCATTGCCAATCCATTTGTTTGGAAAATGTTCATGTAACCAAGCGATGACTTCTCTTCCTCGATGTGGTGGTGCACCATCGTGCTGATACCACATATTTTGAACGATGTTAAGTGGTACGTCGTCGATAAAATCGAAAAGGTTATGTCCCAAGAAATTTCTGTACATATTTGCATTTAAGCGTTCATTTATCACCCATACAGGTAGCAAAGAATTGTTAAAAATGCCACCCCAAACGTTTACACTAAACCGTTGCTGAAATCTTCCTGGTCTAATTGCATGTGGATTTTGCAAGGACCACACATGTTCGTTATGATAATTATTTATGCCGTCCCTAGTGAAACACGCTTCATCAGACCACAGAACTTGGGAAATGAAGTTATTATTTTGAGCATGTTGCTGAATAATCCAGTGGCAAAATGCTAAGCGTTGCTCAGTATCTCCAGGATGTAATGCTTGAACATTTTGGCGATGAAACGGATGTAACATTTCTCGATTCAATACACGCCATACAAAACTTTGGGATATTTGTAACATGCTCGCTATACGCCGAGTACTAATTGAAGGGTCGTCAAGTACTAAATCAATAACACGTTCTTCATTTTGTACATTCACATCATGGGGACGAACGGAATGTAGTGGAGCGGGGTTACCTGTTTCTCTCAGTCTGCGAAATGATGCACTAAACACTGTATGGGCAGGTTGATGTCTATTTGGAAACCTACGAAGGTATTCTCTTGCTGCTTGCCGAGCGTTTCCGTTACAAAGCCCGTATACAAAAATAATATCTGCATATTCTTCAGTCGTAAATACATGCATTTTCGTTTTCGATCAAAACTCTGACAATTATAAACTTTGAAACACACAGAATAGAGTAAATTGAAATGTTTGACATAAAGAACTCAGTTTTGTTATCACAGCCAACTCTGTATTTGTGTTTCATAATTATTGTTGCGATTGTTGCAAATCTTTACTTCGTCGATGTGAAGCGTGCATTCAAGCTGAAGGCGGACATTTCGAACAATTTTTGTAATTTTTAAACTTATTTTTTATGTTACATTTTCATTTGCCTATTAAACTGTGTAAAATTTTCAAAGGCTTGTAACTCTTTAACCAAAATGAATCGGACCCATAATCATATAACATTTTTTCCTTAGAATCGCATCACCTTTCATCTGCCAAAGTTTGTCATAGAGCTAATGAATCACCCTGTATAATATAATATATACCTGTGTAAATGACTATAATTATAGATTTTAATTTGGGTATTACTACAGAGCACAACTCAATACACTTTTCTTTATTAAACATCGAGAGATCCAATACTTCAGCTGAAAACTGTTTTTTTTATTGCCAATAAAACACCTCCGCGTGTAAACTGTGTCCTGCAATAGTATGTATCAATGTTATAATTTGGTATGTATAGTGCTTTTATTTCTGCTTCTGTCATCCAGTGCTCGGTTAGTGTTCAATAAATAATGTAGTTGATTTACTTTGTTTGGCAGTCCCTGTATATTTAAATTAACTACTTGTATAGTTTGTTTGTTAGTTATTCTAGTTGTTTTTTCTTTTAAATTAGCTATTTTTTATATGTTGATGAGATAACAGAGATAGGAAACAGTACTATGTTAAAAAGAATTAGCCTATTCGTTCTTGCCTCGAAGCAGGAGACACAAACATTCTCCAAGATCTATTGATTAATGCGAAAAACACCTTACTACCCCCACTTCATATCAAATTAGGAATAATGAAGCAGTTCGTAAAGGGGCTTAATAACACGTAGTGGTGCTTATTTTAAGTGCCTTGTAGATAAATATCCCAACTTGAGTGATGCCAAAATAAAAGTTCGTTGGGCCACAGTTTCGAGAATTATTGAAAACTACTTATTTTGAAAATATGATGGTTTTGGATGATATACATATATAAGATGCTAGTCGCTATGATGCTAAAAAACTTGAAAAAATTAGATTGTAACATGTGCGTGAAGTTGCAATATTAGCACTCTTATTTACATTTTTTTTCTGACAATTTAGGTGATGTTAGCGAAGAACAAGCAGAGCGCTTCCATCAGGATATAAAAGAAATGGAAAGACGATATCAGGGAAAATGGTCGACATCTATCCTAGCCGAATTCGAAAAAAATTGTCGATTATTTCAAAAATTTATTTCTCAAGAACTAAACGTGGTTTACAGGCGAATTAAGAAAGCAAAAAATGTTGTCTTTAAAACGGGAGCTTATTGGTCAGCAAGCTATGTTTATAAAACCCATTCAAGACTCAGAAACAGCTACAGAAGTTAGTTATGAAATTTCTCGAATGATAGCAAAGCGAAGTCGCCCCTTCAATGATGGGGATTTTGTAAAAGAATGCATAGAAATTGCCGCTAAGAAAATGTGTCCAGAAGCAGCAAAAAAGTTTGAGAAAATTCAACTGAATCGTATGACTATCCAAAGACGAATTATGTCTTTGTCAGGTAATATTGCGGAACAATTAACTGAAAAAACTAAGATCATTGAATTTTTTTCATTAGCACTCGACGAATCCACTGATATTAGTTCCACAGCTCAACTTCTCATATTCATACGAGGTGTTACTCAAGATTTTGAAGTCTTAGAAGAGTTATTAGGAATGTGTTCATTGAAAGGTCAAACCAAAGGAGTTGATATACTCAATGTACTTTTGGATGAGTGTTCAAAAACTGATTTGGACTTATCAAAATTATCGGGAGTTGCGACTGACGGTGCTCCTTCGATGATTGGTGTCAATTCCGGGCTAGTTACTTTGCTGAAAAAGCATCTGCAAGAAAAAAACATAAACGCTGAAGATCTCATGCAGTTTCACTGCATTATACACCAAGAAGCCCTCTGTTCTAAAAAAATTGAATTTCAAAATGTCATGAAAGTGGTAGTTTCGACTGTAAATTTCATAAAATCACGAGGACTCAATCACAGGCAATTCAAACAATTCCTTGATGACATCGAAAGCGAATATGGAGATTTACTGTATTATACAGAAGTAAGGTGGCTAAGTCGTGGATTGACACTGGAACGATTTCTAAATTTAATAGAAGAAATTGGAATATTTCTGGCGGAAAAGCAAAAGGATGTCCCGGAACTTAACAATCCTGATTGGTTGTGTGATTTGGCTTTTTTAGTTGACATTACAAATCATTTGAATGTCTTGAACACACGGCTTCAAGGCAAAAATCAACTGATATCCCAGCTCTACGCTCATGTATCATCCTTTCAAAGCAAGCTGACACTTTTCAGATCGCAATTGAATTCTGGAAATTACAATCATTTTCCGAATTATAAGAAAATGGCTAAAAAATTCAACAAAACTGCGATTAATTTCAGTTATGTAGAAAAGCTAGATATTTTGATTCAATCTTTTCAAGACAGATTTTCGGAGTTTAAAAAAGTGAAACCTCTGTTGGACATATTCAGCAATCCTTTCACGATTTCAGTTGAAAATGCGCCAGAGTCAATGCAGTTAGAAATTATCGACATTCAAAACGACCAAGATTTACGCAACAAATTCAACGAAGGAGACTTGCAGAACTTTTACCGCTGCATTGATAAAAATATGTACAAAGAGTTGCGCATAAACGCTCTGAAATGTGCCAGCTTATTTGGTTCTACCTATATATGTGAACAAACTTTTTCAATACTAAATAATAATAAAACAAAAAATCGAAACCGCCTTGCAAATGATAGTTTGGAAGCAGTTTTACGTGTTGCTACAAGTAAATTTGAGCCAAATATAAAAAAGATTGTAAGCACTATGCAGTGCCACGCTTCAAATTAATAAATTCTTTTTCAATTTTAATACATTATTATCAATTCTTTATTGTCTTTAATGAACTTCTGGCGGCCCGCCATCAGTTCATGATTTGCCCGAGTGGCCCCTAGTCTTAATAAGTCTGTGCATCGCTGCTTTAAAGCAGCTACTTTTGCAAGATACCACTTGGTGTTGGAATGTCTTCGATTAGTTGTTTTGTGGCTTTTATGTTAATCTTGTTGTTAATGTCATCTGTTGCATCTCTTTGTGTGAGCAATACACAAAGCATATATATGCATTAATATACCGGGAATTTCATATAACTCGCAATATATGAATGCAATAACCATAATTACGAAACTACTGTGCACCTGCACTGTCTCACATAAAATGTAACATAACTTAATAGTACAGGCATTGGGTAGTTTTGCAAAGGAAAAGTTTTGCTTGGGAAAAGGTGACTTCTTTATGGCAACCCTGAGTTTTCGGCCATCTTAAGAAACGCATAACAAAACCCAACTTTTCGTTCAATAATTCTAATGTTGAATAACAATTTAAGACCTAGAAACATTCGGGTTTAGCCGTGCGTCTCTCAAGACGGCTAAACCCAAATGATTCTAGTTCTAAGTCTTGTGTTAGTTTTAGTGTTAGTTTTATTTGTTATTCAGCACTAAATCCGCTATATCAAGATTTTACTGTAATGTCAAATTATATTGACATATTGCATTTTATGTGGGACAAAGTAAGTAGGTACGCTCTGGTTTCTATGGAAATATATTTTTGTATATTGCATCTTAAGTGAAAATCACTGTATAGGGATATATAGGGATTCTAAGAGTTTTGTTTTGGATGATTCGATGTTTTCTGAAATTAGTGTCGGTGGTATTACAAGATAGCAGAGTAAGAGTAAAGGTGTTTTTTGTCGGTAAGATTTAGGTCGCTATTTCGTGAAACGAGGGGATAGAGGGTTTTTATGATGGACGATTCCTTGGATATGGAGTTTTGAATGTGGAAAGAAAAGGGTAATCTATAAAGGGTATAGTAATATTTCTTTACGACTTTGGAGACGATTTTTACTAGATTTGGTAATGAGTATGATTATAGCGGTTTTCCAAGAAGCGAGGAAGTGCTGGAGTTTCAGGATATGCCTAGTGATATAGCACAGTATACTATGGCTTCTTTGGGCAGTTTTTGTAAAATGATGTTTGTCAAAGTAAAAAGCTAAACGGTTTCAATCATTTTATGATTGTTATAATGGAAGCCGGTGTGATTAGGGGGACATTATTGGGTTTAGCTTTGTGAATCGTCTAAACCTAGAGCGACAAATTCTGGTAGAGGATTGATGTCTTCAAGAACTGCGATGTCAATTATCGTGGGAGTCATTGCGTTAGTTGGAAACTGGGTTAAGATGTTGGGGGGTGAGGACGAAGGCGTTGTAGACTTGGGTGTAATTGAAGATGACATTGAGGTCTCCGAGGATAAAGATATGTGTATTTCTCCCAAATTTTAAACTGATTCTTATGATTGAAAATTAATTCTTATGATCATGTCTATATCTCCCCTAGTTCCGTTTTTAGTTCCGTTATGTGTGTAGCTTAAGAAATGTTGCACATTCCTTAAATTTCGCATAACAAATAGCTAAAATAATCTTCTTGCACAATTTGTACACTGATGCCATCATCTATAACTGTTTCCAAAAACTCTTTAATAGAAAAAATAACACTACAATACATTTCATTTACATTTCTTTATTAACACAACAAAATTATAATTTAGATATTGATTTCATATTAAACACTTTATCCCAAAAGTCAGTTCCCTCTTTATCAGGATTAATCCCAACCGTTAATTCATCTCCAATATTAATAAAATGTAGCTTGTCCTTTTCAATCGGCTTCCATTCGATATTAATTAAACCATTCTCGCCATCAAGATTATTCGGATTTCCATTTTTGGCAAAATTAGTCCACAACTTAACCATTCTTTGAATCGTTTTATCTTCGTAACTGTTTTCTTCAACCGGTGGATTTTTGGACATCTTAAATAAATAACACAACTCATCTGAGTGAGAAGCTCCGGGAAAATCGACGCCTTGTATTTTTTTATATAAGTTTAATTTTCCGTCGAAGGCGAATTTAAAGAAATAAATGGGATTTTGTAAAGTTTCGAAATGCCTTTTAGCCGTGTCTTGAATAGGAGAGATAAAACGACTGTCTGAAAATAATCTATAAAATTGTTTGCGATCTTGTAGTGTTGGATTTCGTCCGTTACAATAAAACATCTTGATGTTTTCGGCGATCTTTAAAGATTCTGGACTTCCTTTTTTTAAACCTAATTTAAATGGAATGATAGCTTCAAAATCCTTTATTAAAATCGGATTTTCACTCCGTTTTAAATTTTTTCTTATTATATAATCATAAAATAGTCCTTCATCTGATACGTATCCAATAATCACCGGTACTTTTAGGTACTCACCTTTTTTTATGCGTTCATTAAAATCTCCAAAAATTATTTTTTCTTCAACATTATAATCATCTTCAAAAACGGGATAAAACGGTCTTGCGGCATTCGCTTTTACGGAAGACTTAACCATCATTTGACCTTGCATAATTTTCTCCATCGGCTGTTTCTGCAAAAACTCTAAGATATCTTTATCACTTTCTGAAGAGCAACCCAACTTTTTTGCCAACTGTTTCATGGAATCCGTTTGCCCGATAGACCAATGAGAAAGAGCCGATGTACTATGAAGAATTATTTTTTGAAAAAGTCCTTTACATGATGGTACAAACATAAGAATGTGGGCAAGAAGAGCACCTGCACTTCCCCCAAATAGTGTCACGTTCTTTGGATCGCCCGAAAATGATTCGATATTTTGTTGAACCCAATTTAAACCCATGATGATGTCTCGAAGCCCTTGATTGCCAGGGATTCCTAAAGTACCATCTTCAAGACGTGACCAACCTACAATAAAAATTAATATAAAAATGTTGGATCATTTTAAATGAAGAAGTAGTTAAATACCTAAAGCTCCGAGCCTATATGAAATTAATACTAAAACTATATCTTGAGTTAACAAAAATTCTGGACCGTAAATTTCAGTTTTAGTATTTCCTATTGATAAACCTCCACCGTAAATGAAAACTATAACTGGTTTCAAATTTATGTTTCCAGAATTAACCTTTGGAGTATAAACATTTAGATGCAGACAATCTTCACTTCCTTCTAATTTCCCTGTATATGTATTAGGTGCAAAACATCCTTCTTTTTCTTCTGTTGCATCTAAAATTCCTTTCCATGGTTTGAGAGGTTGAGGAGGCTAAATTAATCAGCAAAATTAAATAAATATATGCAACTCAACTAACACATAATATAAAAATAAAAATTTATCAGTTGTTATCTTCAACTTACCTTAAATCTTAAATTTTCGAGTGGAGGTGTAGCATATGGAATTCCAAAGAAGCTATAAAATGTTCCGTTTTTATAATTTTTCTGAAGTTTTCCGCGTAGCTCACCATGTTTTACTTTAACAAGAGCTGTGTCCATTTCAAGTTTGATACTGTTTCATTTCAAAAGTCATTCTGAAGTAAGATAAGAGATTTCTTATTTTATCCATTTTAAATAGATTAAAATTATTAGAGAGCGATAAAAAATAACTTATAATTAAAAAAAAAAATAAAAATTATTTATTAAAAATATAATAAAATAGTTATTAAAAATTTCAAAAAGTGCAGTACCCCGAAATGAAGATATTCGAAGGAATGATATACAGGGTGAGTCGGGAGGAACGGACCAAACTTTAGGAGTGTATTGTACGCTTAAAAATAATGTAAAAAAACTTATATGTTGTTATCCGATTTTCATTTTTTTTTTCATTTTTGACAAGAGCTCTTAGTAAACGAAGCCGGAAATGTTTAGAAGTTAATGGTAATTGTAGCGTACACAGCCTACCTTCACATAGAAATTATACCTTTTATCAAATTACCTTAGTATTATAAATTACCTATGTTACCATTTTTGTTTATTTTCGATATAAATATCATTCTAATACAAGCAATCAACCAGACGACATGTCTGTCTTTGCGTCTTTGCTTTTTATTTTTAAAAAAGAGTTGAAAATATTATATGAACAACAACTCTTTATTGGTGACCCCGACGTGATTTGAACCTGCAGCAAAAACCAACCCTACAACCCGAACCAACCTGAGTCCAACCCTATAACCCGACCATTTCGAACCACATCGCTCCAGACAACAACAGAGCAACAGCCCAGTTGTCCAAGACCATTTCCAGTTGCCCCAATCAAGTTGCCCCAATCCCTTCGCTGGTACTACTGCGTTTAAAAACTACCTTGCAGCCCCTACTAGCGACCCGTTATATTTTTCCTTTTGGATTAGTGAAGGACGGTTTGTGTAAGGCCAACTAAAGCCTTTCTTTCTTAACTAAGAAAATTTAAACGAAAAAAGCAGCGAATTACATTCTATACATATTCTTTATCAATTGTCATATTTGACATCCAACAGTTTTATTTCCATTATTAATTTAATTTTTTACAATGGTAGACGCTACTATCGGCGACAATTTTGATTTGGACATTATTACGAAATTTACTTTACCGCCTATTTGGACTTCAAATCCAGCAGCGTGGTTTACGATTATTGAATCACAATTCGTTTTGTCATGGCTGCAAAACGATAAAACAAAATATCATTTAGTTTTAACTCATCTACCAAACGATGTCATCACATTAATTTTAGACGTTATTCAAAATCCCCCGGTGGATAATTTGTATTTGTCACTCAAAAAAATTTTGATTGACAGACTTTCTTTGAGTGAAGAAAGACGTCTCGATGACTTACTGTCAAATTCTCAAATGGGTGATCAAAAGCCGTCAGAATTTTATAGATCAATGTTGGCTACTGCCGGCGGTTCACAGGTAGTCAGCAGAGAATTGCTATTGAGGCTTTGGCAAAAAAGAATTCCGAAGGTGATATCAGTTGCTTTGTTATCTTCTGGCAAAAATGATGTTGCTGACCTTTTGTCAATTGCGGACAAAATATGGAAAGCTCTGCAACTTTCACCCAATCCAACTTACATACCCGAAATTCATAAAATTTCGTCTAATTCCTCTCTCGCGACTCGTTCCCAAGAAGATATAACAGCATCTCTTCAAAACCTTTCAGTCACTATTCAAGCCTTATCCCAACGACTTTCGTCACTAGAGGATAAAATGTCTTTAATAAATTTCAAACGTGATGACAACAATGTGAACGCCTTACCCCCCCCCAATGCTGTCGTAGTTGCCATCACTCCAGAAGTAGATCGCGCTCCTCATCCCAACATTCGCGTGGTAGGTCAAATTCCTCTGCGCCTTCTAATATATGTTGGTATCACCATAAATTCGCTGATAAGGCGGAGAAATGCCAAGGATCTTGGTGTAAATTTTTCACATCGTTCAACAATAAAACAAATAATTTGTCCCACCAAAAAAAAAACTAATACCCAGTTTCAATAGAAAACCATCTTTTTCCAAATTCAAAATTTCGCCAAAATGGCAATCCCAATTTTCGATCAATCCTACAAGTTCGCGTCTTTTCATTTTCGACAACCAAAATAATCTAAATTTTTTAATTGACACTGGAGCCGATGTTTCTGTATTACCTTTTAAATTTTATTCAAATCGAAAACAAGATACCATCTCTTCGCTTTCCGCTGCCAATGGTACAACAATTAAAACCTACGGCAAGAAACAACTAACAGTTTCATTAAATCTAAGAAGGAATTTTCCTTTCATTTTTACCATCGCCAATGTTAAAAACCCAATCATTGGCGCTGATTTCCTTCATAAATTCAATCTTTTAGTTGATATTAAAAACAAGCGATTAGTTGATTCAACAACAAAATTATTTTCAATCGCTTCTATTGTCAATACTGATACACCAACCCTAAAAAACTTTTCTGTTGAAACTGCATATACAAAACTTCTCAACTCATACCCAAACTTGACATCTACACCAGATTTTTCAACACCTGTTCAACACACAACCACTCACAAGATTATAACAAATTCACACCTTCCTTTTTGTCGTCCCAGGAGATTAGATTCACAAAAATACAATATTGCCAAAAAAGAATTCGAGTACATGGTTTCTATTAGAATTTGCAGGCCCTCTTCTTCCTTTACGGCATCCGCTTTACACATGGTTCCGAAGAAAGACTGACGATTGGCGACCATGTGGCGATTACCGACACTTGAATAATGTCACAGTCCCTGACCGGTACCCCTTACCACATATTCAAGATTTTAACCTCCATTTACATGGATGTAAAATTTTTTCAAAAATCGACTTGGTGAGGGCTTATCATCAGATACCTATAGAAGAAGAAGACATCCCCAAAACCGCAATAACAACACCTTTCGGTTTATTCGAATTTACTCGAATGCCTTTTGGTCTGAGGAATGCAGCTCAAACTTTCCAAAGATTTATTAACGAAGTGCTTTCTGGGCTGCAT